GTATGGACACTGTCAGTCAACAACCAGATAGGAAGGCATTAACAGACTACTCTCATGCAAAGAATAACTGAGTCCATACACTATTTTAGACCTTGCTTCCTTAACAAGAGGTTTTGCAGAAATTTCAAAAAAAAAAAAAAACTCAAAATAGTTCCCCTCTTTCATGAAGATATTATTTATTACTATACAGATGCTGAAACTAGGGCTCCCTTACAGGTAAAGTCACCTGTTCTGTGCTCACTCAACCAAGGAGGGGAAGAACAAGCAACAGTCCAATCCACAGCTCTCCACCCTCTCCTTGCTGTACTGAAAAGATGTCATGGAGAGTTGATCTCCAGCCTTTCTCAATGCTCATTTGCCTTGGACTCTCCTGCTCCAACCCTCTCCCCCTCTTTTCCACCTCACCTGCATTCAGTCCATACATACAGACAGCTAGCGACACCCAGCCCACAAGATGTCTCATCACTGCCTGCAGATGGCACACCCAGGAGCAAACCTTGCTCTGACGTTATACTCTCTCTTTCTGCTCCTCCTACTCGGTCTGCTCACACACTTCCTCCACAGTGAATTCCCTTTGTCCTAAATGACTTAGAGTGATTCAACATCTGTCTTAGAGTGATCCATGGTGTCTTTCTGAAAGTGTTGTTTGCCCTGTAAGGGATCTTTTGGCTTTTTCAACAAGACAGCCAATCTTTGAATATCTTACAACTTTGTAAGATATAGTCTGCGTCTTCTCCTGATTTTTAGAGATGAAACCTGGAGAGATATTAGTATTTATTCAACACAGCACCATGCAGGTGCATTTGGGATCACATCCAACTGTGTCTGATTTCAAAAGCAATAATTAACCAAGAATTTGTCCTTGGGAATAAGGAAGGGAGGAAGGAGGAGAGAGAGGAAGAGAGGGAAGAAGGGAAAATATGAGAATGGAGAGAGGAGGGTTAACAGTGAGGGTGATATTTAGAAAATAGAACACCAAACCAGAAGTAGATATCTCTCTTGCAAATGGCTTGGTGTACTTCAAGATAATCCAAAATAAAGAACAAATGGTCTTAGAGGCCAGGCATTATGGCCATGTTAGTAAAAGCAGGGTTAACAGTCATCATTCACCAAATGCCTATGAAGAGATCAGGGAAAAGATGAGCATCAAAAACATAGGCTTTTATACTTTTGATAAACTAGGATAATGGCCATAAAAACCCTCCAGTGTTGCCATGGATGATGAATATCTTCATCAGATGCAAGAAAGAAACACACAGGCTAGCAGTGCTTCTTGAATACACCCATAGAAGTCTCATCACAGTGGCACCATATGGGATCCTGTACTTGGTTCCACTAGGAAACGTAGGGCTAAAGATTTAGAGACTGGGGGCCAAAGTGTCCAAGTCATTCATTAAGATTAAGTGTCTCCACAAAACCAAACTAGTAGGAACTCATGAACATTAGACCAACATCTGTGGAGTCTCCATGGGACTGGACTAGGCCCACTGCATAAGTGAAACAGTTATGTAGCTTGATCTGTTTAAAGGACCCCCTGGCAGTAGGATCAGGATCATCCCTGGTGCATGAGCTGGCTTTTTGGAGCCTACTACCTATGGTGGGACACTTTGCACAGCCTTGATGCAGGGGGAGGAGCTTGGACCTGCCTCACCTGAATGTTCCAGGCTCTTTGGACTCCCCATGCGAGACCTTGCATTGTTAGAGGAGAGAATTGGGGGGGGGTTGGGGGGAGGTGAGCAGCGTGGAAAGAGAAAGGAGAGGGGGATCTGTGATTGGTATGTAAAATGAATAAAAAAAACTCCTTAATAAAAGAAGATTAAGTATCTCATGAAGAAGTGGAAAATCATGGGTTTCATTCAAGCATCCTGAGCAGATCTATCTGACTCATCCCCACTCCAGAATCTAGGAGAACTTGCAGGTTAAGTGTCTTCACAGGACTCCTGATCTTCTCATAGCCATTGGAAAAGCCATCTCTCCATTGGAAATAATTGATTTAATGCCAGTTACAACTTAGTTCACATGTGTGGAAAATAAGGGACCCCAGCCCAAAAGACAAAAGCTATTTTGGGAGACTAATTTGAGAGAAAAAATGATTACTGTTTTTAGTTAATTTGTGTTCATTATTTCCCATTATAACCCTGTCTCCAATTAGAACTATCACAATCCAATTTACATGCATCTCCAGGGATGAAAAGTTCTGGTCCATATCCCTTATTCATAGAGTATGGCAAATGGCTGAAAGTTAGCACACCCTTGAATTGATTTAGCTGCCTTTTCCCTGCTTTGTTGAACATTCTTCAAATCCTCTTTACTGTGGTCCTAACTTTTCCCAAAGACAATGGGCAGATATGTTCCTGAATGCTAATGGAGTTATGTAAATGCTGATAAATATGTACATAGTGAGTGAGGA